GGGATGTTTGCACAAGAACCTGGTGCAAGAGCACCACACCACCTCACCTCTCGAAAAACACAGAGTCTCTTGGTTTTGTTGAGAACTTTCATGCTTACAGGATGTAAGGATTTGTTATCGCTGATGTTTTAAAAGACAGAATTATTTCTTCCTCCTCCTCCTGTGCAAAATCAGCGCAAACTACTGGCTGAGACCCTCCAGGACCTACAGCTGATGCTCACTAACAGAAGCCAGGAAGAGCAGCCCCCACATGCTCCACCAGAATGACACCCATCGACCTGAGGATGGCAGCAGATTTCTACTGCCCTCCCAGTCACAACCCTGTCAGCTTTGGCAGCCCAGACGTTGCTAATCCTGCTCAAGCTAGTAGAACCAAGCAGTTTTAGTCCATAACTGTGGATTGTGTATGTGGAGCTCAACATCATCAGAAGAAAACTTAGCATTGATACAGTCATCAATAAAGCTCCTGCTCCTGATACAGACTTGGGGAAAAGACGCTGAGCAGCAACATACATTCAAAGAGACCAACTTATGGTCAATGAAAACAACTTCGATTGTGTCCAGATGGTGAAGTGACGGCCAATTTAATAGCAGAAGTTATGAAGTTAAGATCCGAGGTGCACAGAGAAATGAGCAGTCTGTGGGACTGTGAGACTGACGCTGCCGTGTCTCAGAGATGAACATAATATCAGGCTTCTCTGCACAGAACAACTCATGTAAGATTTAAGACTTGTTGGCAGTTTGGTGAGGCCCACGGGGACAGGTGCAGAGGGGCCTGGAGTCCCGACTTTGGGCTACGTTGCACAGCAAATCCTACCATGATGAGCCGTGGCTTTCTACGCTTTCACATGACTGCCCAAGGTGGCAAACACAAGTGGGCATGGAGATCAATCCAGCCCCACAAGTCTCAGGCGAATCTGACCGGCGACACACCAGGAGTGAAGCTCCCAAAGATCCTCTTCCTCTCTCCGAGGCTGACGAAGCAGCGCAAGAAAACCGGCGCTCTTCCCGCACTTCCACCGATGAGGCCTCCGAATCAAAAACGAGATGACCGGCAAGAGGGGAAGTAGCACCCGGAAGTATACCGGGAGCTGCGCTCCAGCGCCGGTGGAGAAACAACCTCAATACGTTGACTGAAAATTATCCATAGCAGATTTAATCACCAATAATGCACGGCGGTCAAACA